TTCGCCAACCCTAAATCCCGCAATACAGGTTGCATTGTCTCTAGTGTTGGTCCTGGTAATGACTGCAGGCCATAGCAGATGACACAGTTCTAGCAGAGTAGTTCAACGAGTCATTGTGGAAGACAAAAAGAGTGGGCAAAATCCAGTAGAATAAATATACCTTATTAGACATTGTAATGTTAATATTACTATGTATTTTTAACATAGATTTATTTTAATAAATAATATTAGCATAGTTACCAGTAGTTTATCCATCAATACTTTCATTTGTTATGTTTTTATTATAACTGCATCTTTCAGAAGTTAAATTAGTTGTATAATTTCCCTTTCTCTGTTTTCGTATGATAAAAGTTACATACACGCCAGAACAGGCTTGACTGTAATGTATCATATATTGATGCAAAACAAAATTAAATACAAATATTAACTGACTAAACAGTGTTTGAATCTTCATAAAAAGTTCTAAAATATCTACAGTAGATAAAGAAACTTCTGATCAAATTATGTTGCATATTACTATGGATGGGAAAATGGAATTTGCACAATTTAAGTTTCATGAATTTAATAAACTTCATTTATTGCTGGGAAACCTTTTCATTAGTATAGGCTAAACATTAGAAACTGGGAGATTCTGTGATCTACCATGAGATGTGATGAAAAACTGAAAGAGTTGGTAGTTATGAAAATGTGCAAAAGTGCATATTAAAACATTTAAAAACAAAAGGTAAATTGAAAATGAGTGATGTTATTTGGCATAATAAATTCTGATTACGAATATAAAAAGTAAGTATACAAGGAATACAGAGAACAGATCCTCTTTCAATTAATTTTGTTCAAATTTTAAATCTTTAATTCAAAATTAAAACAGAATTAATTCCATCTGGCATAAAATGCCTGGTGCATATAATGATTAGTTATACTGACTGCCAAAAATTAGGCACACAATGCAAATTAGCTATTTTTGAAACCATACGTAAATCTGAGTGTCTCGGATTCACCGTGGAAGTAGATGCAAATACTATATGTCCCAGTGAATCACGATTCACTAACTGAATGTATGTTAACAACACAATCATTGAAGATGTTAGCAATCAGAAAAGCTTGAGGAGATTCATTTAAATGCTGATTTGAATTTTTTGTAAGTTCTGAAGGATAATTTTTTATGATAGTCATGTTTCTGTGGCTGAAAGAGATGAATAGCAGACAGTCAGCACTAGGGTGCTATTAGATTCATTGAAGCAATACAGAAAAACAAATATGTCGCTTTTTTGATGATTCTGTAATTTTTTTAATGTGGAAACAATTTCAAACAAGTGAAACAGTTACCTTGCAGCTCGGTATATTGCCAAGCGGAATTGATGAGCAACTTCCTGAACTGATACATCCAGGGTTACAGTGTCTGCCAATATACAGTGGCTAGACTATATCTGCCAGTACTGTGTGTCATAGGCTTCACATGAAAGGACTACACCCAGTACAAAATATTTGCATTTTTTTTTAATGGCCCATCTAGATAGGAAAGGTTAAAGTAGACAATTGGACTGCCTCAGATTGGCAAAATATCCAGTTCATAGATGAGCCCAGATTTTCCCTGGAATAAGACATTAAGCTTGTAAGGGTCTGAAGAAAAAGAAGGCAAACAGAATCAGAACAAGAACATTACTGAAAACAACACATTCAGAAGTGGCACATCATGGTGTGGTACAGAATTTCCTATGGGATATCGCGTCCAATTGCACGACTTTACAGATGGTTCTGTGAGAGCTATGCAGTATCACGATGAAGGTCATACATCCTATTGTGAGACTACACTACAGTAATTAGTCCTGATTTTCTTCTTATGGATAATAATGCCCATCCTCATGGAGCCAACATCATTTAGGAGTATCTGGAGAATGACGAAATTTCTCATATGGAGTGGCCACTGTTCTCCCCCAAACTTAATCCCACTGAAAATGTTTAGGATGCCCATAGGCAGCTGTCTCTGTCCATTTACCTCCTTCATCCAGTATTATAGGGTTAAAACTGTCTTAATGGAGGAATATCTCCTTCATTCAGTCTTATAGGGTTGAAACTATCTTAATGGAGGAATGACCTGTGTTCACTTAGCATCTTGTTGATCACATCACCGAAAGCATAGGCTGTCACTGTAAAGCTTGTGTGAAGGTCTTGGGTGGTGACATACCTTATTGATGTACGTTTTGTTTCTTAATTTTAGCTTTCAACATTAGTATGTTAATGACTCAAATGTGACATCATTGTATAATTTTCGAAAATTAAATATTGTCTTCATCTTTGTATGTAATTTTTTTTTCTTTCATGCATAAACACATTCGCTGCCTTCAAATGCAATTTGGTGTTAATTAAAGCTTTATATTTCCATTTTTGTTGGTTTTACCATCACATGCTTAATTTTTAAAAGCCAGTTTCAGCTGTGCTTGGTTCATTAAAAAATAAAAGCTTCAGGTAAGAAGTTTACATTTATTAAAAGAAAGCATTAGCATGAAAGTTTCATAGCATAAAGTGTAATTATTGTTTAATATCTGATTTTATGAATGAAAATAAGGCTTTCCATTTTCACTAGATGCTTAGAAAAACATTAGTAAAAATCATTATTTCTTTTCTGGTACCATTTATGAAGTAAATTTATCTTTATCTTCAGAAAATTAACAATCAGTATGATATTAATGCATGACTAAAACAATTACTTTGTATAAATTAATTGATGATTTTAGATATGCAGTCTGCAAGATCACCTTTAACATCAATGTAGACATAGAATCCACTCAAGCATTCTTATGTTTTAAGTACCACTAAAAACAGTTTTATACTTACAGAAATCCATTCTTACACATCACTCATTATCACTCCTTACCAATATAAATTAAATTTTGCACTTAACGCCACTTATGGGTTTTTAAACAAAATGCTGAATTTCTTATTAATGATTACATTTGGCATTCATATTAATGATTGCATAAGTCAAAAGAGAAATTACTGCAATATTTATATGCAGAATTAATCCAGAGCACATAAATATTGTAACGAACTTGAACAATAGCTCAGATTAACATTCATTTAACTTGAAAACATTCTTTCACACAAAGTGAAAAATTAAAGAAGAAACAAATTGGTAATACATTACATAATAAAATTAATATTATGGAAATCAAAATACAATCTACAATAATTATAACATCTATATTGAAGAAAATGAGTAAGTTAATTACCTAAACATCAATCATAAATTTACCACGAAAAAAAATACCCAATTATTAGATAAATACACACACATGATTTTGTTGAAACATAATATTCTCATTTATAAAAAAGTACAACCTCACACAATAACAAACTGATGAAGAGCTATGATTTAAAAAGAACATGAGCTATTTTAGTTGAAAAAAATACAATTTCTTAAATAACAAAAACACCATGAACACAAATTATGATTTAGTAAAACTCTGCTGAGATTTTTGTAGTTTCTTTTGCAGTTTTTTCTCCCTATACAATTGGTACTCTTTACAAGCATTGTTGGAATGCATTTCTAATATTATCTGAACTTTCTTCACGATGTCTTGAGCAGTTTGGGGATCTGTTTCAAAGACATATTTCTTGAATTCTGATCCATCCTGATGTACTATTAATTTGAAAATACATTTTCCTGGACCTAAAGTAAAATACAGAAATAATTATCAAAACTTTATAAATCAAGAATATTAAAGAGATACACAAATATTTACCATAAAATTTTAGCTGCAGTAAAAAATATTTCAAAAATAATTCCTGTATCATATGCATGTAGAATATTTTGCTATTTCTGAAGATTTAAGATTTGAAAAATGTAAACAAATAATTAAATTTAAGTAATCCATAACTAGGCATCCATAGAAAAAAGACCCTTTTGGTAAGGAGCAGCCTAACAATTCCTGCAATGCACACGACATAATGGCGTAAGGCACTTTTAGTTATATTAACATATTATTGTTAGATTCACCTAATTTAGAGTGTCTAGATTGTGATTTTATATACTTTTAAGCCATTTCCAAGTAAATACTAAAAACTAACTTTTGAAAGGAACTTTCAAGCAAATTTATTAAAAAAGAAAATATTTTCTTTTAGGTTTTAAGGCAGAGATTAAATTGTGCCAAAGCCCTAAATACAAGGCTCCGCACTTCTTTTATATAACTGAACAACAATTTCAGTAGAAATTTGATCTCGAAAATTTTATTTTTAGCAATAAAATTATATTAAAAAATCACTTATGAAATTTCAATTTATTTCTCTACATTTTATTCAATAACTTTAATCTTTAAAATTATTTTAATAAGTAATAATAAATTATATATTAATTAAATAACAATTATCAATTATATAATAATGATAAACATTGATTATTAATATGAATTATATAGTATTAATTTTTTAATCATTAACCATTTAAGTTTTAAATTATTAATGATTTTAATAGTCCTTTTATTTATTTATTTACTCTTGTTTCTCTTTCCTGAAGGTCTTCTATAGGGCTTTGGCACTTCTTCTTTTAGAAATTAAGCCCTGTTTTAAGGGGGTATATATGTGTTATATTTTGTTTAGGGCTATTTTACACAGTGATGAGTCATTCTTTTTAATAACAATATTTATTTTTACTTGAAAGAAATATAACCCAAACACATATTCTCATGGGGGGGACATTACTGGAGGCTGCTTCTCTTAATAACATTAACTCACAGATTGTGAAATGACTATTACATCTTTAGAATTGCATAATATAATTTACTTTTAAAATACTGCCAGAAAATTCAAAAGAAATATGATGCTCATGCTTAATACCTATTATGTTACATATTTACTGTAATTTTGTAAAATTTACATATAATTTTTTTTTTTTTTTACTTCGACAGCAAATAATGCTTAAGAAATTGTGGTTCACATATAATAAAGATTTATAACTCATTATAATTAATTCTTATTTTAATATTTAAAAACACAAAATATGATATAAATAGTATTTCTTTTAGTCTCACATCATCTTTTTGATTACTATTTACTGACTACCATTCCATTACTTGAAAAGAATTTACTTCCATTCCTTAAAACATAGCAAAGAAGAACAAGTACTTTCATGCTGAGCAAAATTCCCTTCATATTGACATTAATTTTATAAAAAATACTATATGCATTTTCAAAGACACTTGTTCATCTCAGAGATAAGAAAAATACTGTCCCAGATCTGACACCTGGAAAAAGAAAGAGCTAGAGAATGGTTTTTCAAAAATGCATGAATTTTCTCTAGAATTAATATAAATGAAAGAATGAATTTCGCTGAACATAAAAATTCAAGTTGGAATGTTTGGTACTCTATTAGACACCATAACTATAAGCAGTATATAACTAACCATATCTTCTATTTGATTTAAATGCATTATTTTATTAACATTTATATTTCTTGCATTGATATAAATTCCATTTATCAGTCATTAAAGTATCTTTTCAGAGTAAAATTTTAAGCTGTTAGCTGAATTTTAAATCATTATCAAATTTTTTACGTAATATGTTTTATTATCAAAGGAAAAATTCTTTTTCAGATTCAATAAAACTATCATTAGAAATAAATCACTATTGCAGAGTTTTAAGCCAAGCACTTCATATCCAGTGATGTAGTACAGCTGCTTAACAGCTATCTAATAGCATTAAATATCTGGTAGAAATCAATTTTTGGCTAAATTTCAAATGAAGAAGGTCCTGAATTTTCAGAAAACACCTTTTCAGAAAAAAATTATAATTTGCTTCTAAAAAAACGAAACAATACCATCTGAAATCATTGTCAAACAACTGTTGAGAACATAACTAACTATTAAAATTCATGTTAGTATGAATCTTTTGTATCATTTTATTTTTTAAAAAATAGTTTTTTTTTATAAATATAAGAAAGAAATAACTGACTTTATTGGTTTAAAAATATGATTTCTCAATGGAATTGTAGAAAAGAGAATTCTGGAAATACAGTAAAAGCCTAATTATCTAGCTTTCAACTAACCATAAAGCTGAAGCAAATGAATTGTTTTAGAATTTTAGGAAATTTTTTACTTGACAAATTAAGCTTGTTACACTATTAGCACATAAATTTAAGAAATATTACCATCCCTTAATTATGTTGCTTGGTATGGCTGCACCAGCTTTGGTGGCAGCCTGCTTCTACGAGACAGCATGCAATGAAGCATTTTCTAAGTTGCAGGATTCTGGCCCAAAAAAAGTCATGATATGCGACAATATTTGAAAATGGATAATGAAACATGAAAAATTATGACATGCAATTTAAGTTTTTTATATGCTATATCTGTAATTTGTATTTGCTTAATATCTTACTATATATAAAATAATCTGTTCCATTAAACTTCTGCCAGAAGGACTGATGCAAGTTTGGTAACTTTTCTGCCAAATTTCATGTTCGGTGAGATTTCATAATTGGATAAAATATTTTACTTTCATGTTTAAGGCCTATGAAATAAATTAGCTTTTTTGTCCGAAATGTATTTTTTTTCCCCTGACATCTTATATAATTTTAAATTTAGGCTTTTGATATTCAAGTTGGTAAAAAATAAGCTGATTGTTTTTATAATTTTTGATTGGAAATTTCTTAAGCTATTCTAATATCAATTCCATTTTCTATGCAATCAATAATCCAGAAATTTTATATATTCAGCATTTTCCAAGTATTCCATTACTTTTAAAATAAGGAAATACCACAATATTTTACATGTGGCTACAATTTAAATAAGATGTTCACTTGGAAATTTTATTACCACATGAACGAAAACAAACAGCCAACTTTTACAAAAGATTATAAATTTATATACAGCAGATGCCACTTAATGTCATCATGGTTAATGTTATCATTTAGACATTGTTATCAATCTGTTGAATTACTACTCGTTTGTATATGAAAATATGGAAAATATCGCTTATTGTGATCAACAATTCAATTACCATCAAACTAATATAATATACAATTTTTTTAACTAAAATAAAGTCACCAAAAAAAATTTATCAAACAATTTCAAAATCAGACAACAAGCCTTTCTTCTTCAGGAAGGGGGCGGGAAGCTCTACAGAGCTTTCTACCCTTGAAAATTTTTTTGAAAACATCTACAGTTAACTAAAGTTGCTATCTTTTATTTGTTTAATTTAAAATTTTACATCAGCATATTTTCTTCGAATGAGGGATGCCTTCCGAATATTAAGATTACAGGTACAAGCATTGGCCAAATAATTTCCAAAAACATCATGACAATTCATAAGTAAACTTTTGCATTTTTTTCATTAAAATGCTGTGAAAATACCTTTTGATATTTTTATATCAAATTAGTTAAATTCCATTATTATTTTGAAGGGTATTTTTTTCATTGTTTAATGTTGTCAAAACAGACATGGACAAACATGATCACATTAAGCAGCACTTACTGTATCATTACATTTCTTAGTAATTTAAATATGTTGCCATGTGCTAAGTTTTCTCATATAGCGCTGCAATATTCTACTAAAAAGTACTTGGGAAATAATGAATTTTAAAACAATATCATAAATATAATGTATGCAGTTACTTACTATATTTTTTGGATACAATTTCACATGCAGCAATTGTATCCATGTAATGAGTAGCAGGCTTTTGCTGCCTGCTAAGTAATTTAACAGCACCTTTCTGAGGTATAGGGTTAATTTCAACTTTTTCACCAGAAATTCCTAAATGGAAGGCAAAAGTATATATTACTTATTATGAAATAGACAAAAAAAAATAACAATAATATAGTATTAACTATTTCATTTTCTTTTTTCTGACAAGTTTAAGAACTGATACTAAAAGCCACAACAGTTTCAAGAATGCACTTTGCTTTTAATACTGAATGTAAATTTGTTCTTGATAAATGTTGTATACTGTATAGTCATTTCTTCCTTGACTAACAGATTGAAAGAATGATAGAAAACTAATCTATGTTCCAAGAGATAAGAAAATTTATGCAGAATACTAAACTTGACTACAGTAAAATAAAATTATTGTTTTCTAACTGCATACAGAAGTGGTTGCAGGTTTTATTCAATTAAATAATGATTTGAGACATACACTTTTAATTATTATGCTTTTCAAACTAAGCATAATTAATATGATTAAATTAATACGCAACTACATATTAATATGCATAAATTAATACATAGATGATTTAATACATAGAATTACATGGAATAAATCCTAACTAATAACTAGTACTAATAATAACCAATAAAGAGAATTACATGTATCCAAATCATGCAATTAAATTCTGACAGTCAATAAAGAGGCAAAAAAGTCAAAAAGAAAACTGATTGATACAGTTTCTTGTAAATGCAACGTATTAATTTTATTTAAAATGTATTTTCCCGATTGGCAACAACAGTTTTTTTTCAGAACGATAATATTTTGAACTGTAAGTTTTTTTTTTAGCAGTAATGTTGACGGTAATGTTTCAGAAAAAAGCAAGCATCTAACAATTAATATTTCAACGGTAATGTTTAACGGAATGTGTTTTTAATAAAGGAACTAATTAATTGCTAACATTTCAGAAGTGGGATAAACTAGAATTATTATCTAGATTAACAACGTATTGCCTTAACATACGCTAAGCCTAAACTGAAGCGGAAGCTCGCCAAAACTGAAAGTAGAAGGGTAGTGAATTTATAACTGTTTATGTTATATTTAAGTATTAAACGGAAAGAACTTAAGTATAATTATGTATTATATTTGAAAAATTGAAGTCTAAGATGGCTTATTTGGCAAGAGGCAAGAAATGTGACTTAAAAGAACTTGCTTTGGAACTTGATGTAGATGTCCCTCTGATATTAAAATTGTAGGCTTAAGAGATATGATTTTGAATAGTAAGAATTATAATGAAGACTTTACTAAACAAATGCTAGATAGAATTATAATGATCGTTTAGACAGGGAAAAGTTAGAAATTTTTAGAAAAAAGATAAGCAAGAGCATTTGAACTTGAAAAATTGGAAAATAGAATCGGAAATCAGAAGTAGTAATGTAAATGATTCTGTTCCTTCTAATGTTAGTAGAAGTAATATTTGTGATATGAGTAAATTAATGTTAAGTATGATTTGAATGAAGGTGATATAAGTTTTTATTTAGTTTTATTTGAGAGACAGGCACTCAGGTATTGGGTTAGAAGAACAAAACTACTGGTTTTTCTCAGCTGTTTAGTCTATGCCTTATGAAATACTCAATTAATTGCCCGTGAATCAGAAGAAAAAGCTAACGACTATAAGCACGTTAAGCAACTACTACTGAGAAAATTTAAGTTAAGCCCTGAACAGTTTCGTCAAAAGTTCATGTTGATCATATTAAAACATTGCGTAATACGTGGAGGGACTTCACGTTTGAATTAAAAAATTACTTTGAAAAGTGGCTTGCTGGCTTAAATGTAAGAGATTTTGACTCTTTAAAACAACTTATTATTACTGGAGCTATTAAAGAAAAGTGTCCCCGTTGCTATTCGAGACCATTTCATTGATGATTGGTCTAAATTCATTGATCCTGAAGAGTTGGCTGAAAAACTAGATGAATATGAAAATATTCGGGCAGGGATAAAAGTACTTCAAGTAGCAAATAAAACTTTTAGGCGTAATTCTAAGCCCAAATCTGGTTCTAAATTTAATGAAGACTCCTATAATCAGTATTCAAGACAAAGAAATGTTAACGATTCCATGCAGACACATGGTAATTTCAAAGTGGGTTTTAAAAACAGTTTTGATAATAAACCAAGCTGAGAGATAAATTTTATAAAACAGACGAAAGGAAAAGGGAATATAATTTTGGCATCCGCAATGAAAAGGGTGAGCCGAAATGCTTCAATTGAGATGATTATGGACATATAGCGACGGATTGTCCTGAACACTAAAAAATAAATTATTTGCAGGAAATGTAATGAAAAGGGTCATACTTTTAAAAGGTGTACGTCTAAGAATCCAGACTTGACAAATGTTAAATAATTTTATCCGTGAACCAGAATTCAGGTGTTTCACCAGCTGTATATTTAAAGTATGCTCGCATCAATAATGGGGAAGAAATTACTGCAATCATAGTACGGGTTCTAGTTCATGTTTATTGAAACAGTCTGCGGCTAAGAAACTGAATCTTATTATAAAACCTTATGTGGATTAATTGTTTGGCTTTGGGAAGCAGAGTAAACCAGCTGCTAGAACATTGGGAAAAGTAACTGTTGACTTAGTGATTGATAAGGTGGAAGGAAAGGACATTACAGTTCTAATTGTAGGAATGAAACACAACTATGCGACTTATTAGTTGGTCGAACATGGATTGATTTACCCCATATTGCATACACCAAGATAGGTAATACCTTGCACATACGTTATGCTAACGATTGTCCATTTTCACAGTTGCAAAGTGATAGCAACACTCCGCAAATTAAACTGAAGGCTTCCTAAGAAACTCAAATCGAAAGTAATAGTTAATTTCATAAAAGAAAGTTCAAACTGATGAACTAAATAATGGTAATAATGAAAAAAGTGGATCGGAAGATGAGTTGGACTCATTATTGGAAGTAATACAGGGAGAAACAGTGATACCAGTCATAACTAACAACAGCGATCGAAAATTAATTTTGAAAGAGATTAATGTCTCGGTAGAGCGGAAGTAGCAGAATTAGTGAACAATTCAGATCAGAAAACTGAAAATTCAAGTCAAAGGAAAAATAATAATAAATGAAATTAAGAGTTTAGGAGACCGATTACCTTAGAAGAAATTAAAGTAATAACAATACTACGTCAGAAAGAAAACAGGAAGTTTTACATTTGATAAATGAGATCGGATTGTTTTCATTAAATATGGAGGAATTAGGGTGACAAACTAACAAAAATGGATATTAAAGAAATTGAAGGGAGCAAGCCTATTTGCATGAAGTCGTATAAAACCAATACCGAAGACGTGCTTCTATAAAGAAGATAATAAATGAATGGAAGAAATGTGGAATTGTTACTGAAAAAGATCCCGTATGCTAGTCCAGTTTACTCGTAAAAAAAAAAAAAAAACAGGTGAATACGATTAGTGATAGATTATAGAAATTTTGAATTCGCAAACTGTTAAAGATAAATTTCCACTCCCTAGGATAGACGATCTTCTTGAATGTCTTAGTGAGTGTAAAGTTTTCACTACATTGGACTTAGCTCATGGATATTTGCAGATTCCTTTAACTGAAGAAGCGAAACTGAAACAACTTTCATCACTCCAGATGATACTGGTCAATTGAACGTATGATCTTTGGGTTAGCTAATGCACCTGCAGAATTTCAGAGACTTATGAATCAAGTTTTGGGTCCATTGCTTATATAAGAAGTATTGTGCTATTTGGACGACATATTAATTCCAGCTAAATCTTGGGAAGAATGATGGAAAAACTTAGGAAAGTGTTTGATAGATTGGAGGAACCAATGCTGACATTGAAACTGACAAAATGCGAATTTGGAAAGATGAAGTTGAGTATTTGGGATTTCTAATAAAATCAAATGGTATGCAACCTGGACCAAGAAAAGTACGAGCCATATTAAACTTTCCTAAACCAACCAATGAACATGAAGTTAAACAATTTTTAGGTCTTACAAGTTCTTTTCTTTAGAAGGTTTGTACCGAAATACCAGAGAAAGCTGAGCCGCTAACGAGACTGACGAGGAAGGATGAAACATTTCGTTGGAACGAAGATCAGCAAAAGCATTCAGTACTTTAAAGGATCATTTAACTAATGAACCAATACTAGCATTATATATCCTGAAGCAGAGACTGAAGTGCACACAGACGCGAGCAACAAAGGACTGGCAGGAATGCTGTGCAAAAAGGTAAGATAGAAAGTGGCATTTAGTTTATTGTGTAAGTAAAGGAACAACAGAAACAGAAAGAATTATCATTCAAGCAAATTAGAATTAATGGCTATAGTTTGGACTTTGACACGACTTCGACAATTTTTAATTGGGATCCGATTTACGGTAATTACAGACTGCCAAGCTTTAGTTCATTTAAACGCGAGGAAAACTTCAAATCCTCAGATAGCAAGGTGGAGTAATCTGATCCAGGAATACAATCTTGAAATAAAGCACAGGAAAGGCAAAAGAATGAGTCGCATAGATGCATTGAGCCGATCGCCAGTTGATCAGCCAGAAGAAACTTTAGACTCTATAACTGAAAACAACTTGGAAGTTTGTTTAATGCTAACGATATATGAACAAATTCTTATGATTCAGCATTCAGATCCAGAATTATGCAAATTAATAGACATTTTAAAGAAAAAGATAAATGATAGAACGAATGCAGAGAAATATGTAACTGAAAATTACGTCTTGAAGAATAATCGATTGTTTCGTAAAGTGAAAGATCAGGAAAAGGAGAAATTGTTATATGTCATACCTAAATCAATGAGAAAAGGTATTGTAGTAAAATTTCATGATCTTTTGGGACATTTTTCAGCAGACAGAACTGTTGCCAAAATCAAGGAATCATACTGGTTTAAAGGAATGAAACGATATGTTATGCATCACATTTCGATGTGTTTCGAATGCCTAGTAAATAAAATGCCTAGTGGTAAGAAACAAGGAGTACTGCATCCAATTAGACATGGTAGAAGACCTTTTGCAATTATACATATAGATCATTTAGGACCATTCATAAAAAGTTCAAGAGGAAATACAGAATTAT